TTTTTTTTTTTTTTTTTTTTTTTTTTTTTTTTTGGTACTGGGAATCAAACTCAGGACCTTGTGTTTGCCACACAGGCAAGATGCCTCTAAGCTACATCTCCAGCCCAAATCTACTGAATCTTATACTTATGTTTGTACATTGTGTGCTATGCAAATTTTAGTTCAATAAAGTTGCTTTAAAATTTGAAAGAAATACTACAAATAGGTCAATCCAATTATTCAGAGATATATATGCAGTGCAGAAATAGAAATAGAAATAGAAAACAACTTGGTGTGATTATTTATATCACCATTTAGTGCTGGCTTCATACGGAGTTGCTGCTTAGTAAGGTTGCCTGCTTTGGAGCAGAGCCTTGGAGAGGATGGGGACTGGAGCTGTCTCCCTCCTCAAGATGCCTCCAGCCACCCTTGAGATCTTCGGGGACCCAGAGGTATAGAAAACATTTATTTGCAGGGCCCCAAGCACGGAGGCCCTTCTCTCAAAAAGGGAGGATGTTGGAAGGGAGTGTGGAAGAGCCAAGAACAGGGTGTGGACCGAATCCCTTCTCCGTGGATCCTGGATGTCACACTGGCGGAGAGCAGGGAGATGGAAATTTTATGATTCCATGGGATTTATATCACTTGCTTCTGTGCTTCTTAGGTCTGTGCTACCTGATGGGAGGAAAAACTGAGGTCAAACAACTGTTCCTGAAAATCCCCATTCTGTGTTGAGAAAAAGGTTATACGCTGATTATCATTGGGGGATAACCTATCATCTAAAATAAAGACAACACTAACTGAGCTCCTTATGGGGGCTCTCCCAGCCTCCTTATGGCGCAAAATTCTAGACCATTGGGTTCAGAAATATTATTTCTTAGATTCTTGTTTTTGTAGAAGTTGAAGCCTCGAGGGCAGAAGGGCTTTGATCTGTGGTCTCCTAACTTCTCCCTCTGAGGAGCTGCTCCAAAGGCCTCTCACTGGTGAGAGAGTAGCTGTGTACATTGGTAAGCATCCGAAGATTTCTCAACAATTAGGCCTGAACATTGGCCCCAAAATTTGATTAGAAGGAAAGATAGTCAACTCAGCAATCTGGTGGCTGGGGAATGTCTCTGTCTCTAGAGTAGGGCAGATTGCAGCCTCTCCCATAGATGTGGCTAGAGATTCTGTCTTCCTGAGGAGACACAGAAGGTGGCCGGAGTCTCCACCTCTCTTTCACCACCACAGGCGATGCACAGGGCCTTAGCGCTTCCTGATGACCAAACAGTAACTTGGTGTCTTGCAAGGTGATCTGAGTTTTCACGCTGAGAATTCCTGTCTCTCATGGGCAGAGTTGGGGCCCTGAAAGGTGAGGGTGCAGAGGTTGAGCCCAGCATCTGTGAGCAAGAGGAAAAGGCAGGGGAACTGTACTGCTGTTAGGAAAGGGCAGAGCATCGTCTAAACTGGCCAGTTCCAGAGAGGAAGCTCAGCCAGCAAGAGGTTCATCATCAACTGTCACATGGTGGTTTTAATCAGCTCTGCTCCTCAGTGGAAGACAGATTTAATATCAAGGCACATTTTCAGAGCCATTAGTTTAATTATGACAGGTGTCTGAAAACTGGATGACTCTGCTTTCAGGCCTGAGTGACAGCATTTAATTCCCCAGGCCCATGGGGACACTCGGGTACTTTACCAAAATGAGCCTCCATTAAAAGTCTAAGTGTTCCCCCTCCTTCCTCCTCTGTTTCTTCTTGCCCACCTCCTCCTTCTTTTTTATTCTAGTGTTCATGTCAGAAGGAGGAGAGCGAGAGAAAATTGTACTTCACTAGCAGAGAAAATAATTTACCTTGTCCATTACAACTCATCTCACTGGCGCTGCAGCAGCTGACTTTCTGGTCAGGCAAAGCCTTCCTCACTTATCTTATCACCTTTGCATGAGCATTTCTGTGCCGTGTCTGCAATGTTTTGCTTTGCTTTTTCCCAAACTCAAAAGGTGGTGATTGTGACTGCCTGTGTTAAATGAAGAGGAGCGCAAGCTCAGGACAGATCTGGAGAATCGGCTTCGCAGGTGGGGACCTGGCTCTCTCTGTGCAATTCCTGGGCTAGTGCCCCTTGTTCTTGTAATGACATAACATGCTCCACACCTTCCACTTTGGGCAGGTGGCCCATACTGGCTGAGTGACCACGGACAGGACCCTCGAGCTCTTCAAAATGACCAACCTGATGTGCAGACGATAGGGCTACAGCTGTGCCTTTCCAAACAAACAGACAAACAAACAGACAAAAAACATGCTGGTGTTTGGTTTATACTGAAGAAAGCTTAAACAGTGAAATCTTCAGAAACTCAAATGAATATTTATAAGGTAGAGATCTTTGGAAGACACATTATGCAGTCCCCAAACTTTGCCTCTCCTGCCTCAGATGCTCCTGGGCCCTCACAACCTGGCACAAACCCTACTGGGAGAAGGGTGGGCTCCATAGATACTCCCAGGGTCACTCTTTCAGGCCTGGGACTCTCATCCCAGAGAATCCTTTCCTTAGAGGCAGGAAACAAGAGAGTGGGAGGCTAAGGAAATCATAGCAGGGGCCCGACGACACTGGAGTGGCTGACGGTAAGTTTCCTCATTGCTGATTCATGTACCTGTAAGGCCACAGTGCCCCACAGGCTGCGAAGCCCTCCATCTCACCTCCTGCTCTCGTCATCCTCACCTGATTCTTCTGGCTGCCCCTGTGCAATACTTGGAAGAAGCAGGAGGCAAGAGTGAAATGGGGCCAAGCCT